ACATTGGAAAGTGAGCTAGCATCTGCTAAGCTCTGTAGAACACTGGTGAGTCATATATCAGCTTTGACCTGGCCGCACTCACTAAAGAGGAGTCGAATGTGTGATGTGGCAGAGGTGTTTGATGGTATAAGCACCTGATAGGTAGTTGACTCACTTTCAGGTCGTTGAAGACGGCGTTGAGCCGAAACGTAAGGCAAAATAAAGTGTTTCCATAAAAACCTGTTACGGCATAATTACATCAAGATCAAATCGTAACCATGCCCAGGTTTCAAGATGGGAGATCTCATGAAAAATCTTCTTGAACATTTATTCAAAAAATGTAGACTATAATTCACGTACAACTCGCTGCTGACGAGTTTGAGTTGAATTTTGTAAATTTCAATAGTTAAAGAGTTATGAGATACAGCAAAGGGTAAAAAGTTACTTTCACCTCATGTGACTCGCTGAAACAGGATTTCGCACATAGTGCTAGATCTTCCTATCTTCGAATAGCTCACAAATTATACTCTTGCGACCGTTTACTACAGATAATCCGTCGCATACGGTTTTTTTTTCTCAAGAAATACGGACAGTATTGTATATTTACCTCTATGACGCTATTTGAACTATTCGCCGGATCATGAGTGACAGCCAATTCCAGTATGACAGCATTTACACCGCTTCGATTCAAAACCCGAGCTAACTGTTCTTCCCATGTATAATCCCACTCCTTCCAGTTAGAACCTAAAATTTTGGAGATTACAATCTAAATAAAAACTTTAAGACCCTGTTCATTAAGATAAGTAATATGTTATACCTTCCAACACTGGCCATCCTCCAACCCGATTGACAATCTCCTTGACCGCAATCAGACCAGTTCTTTCTAATTCATCTGAGAGAAATTTCAAATTCTTTCTTTTGGGTGGAGAAACGAAAGTTTTGATGGTGTTAAAAGACAATAATCACACTTTATGTCTCGTAGAAATCTAACTTATCTTACATACTGTATTTATGCCTTACCTTCGTCTAGGCACTTTTGATAGTAGCCTTTG